CACAATTCAAAGAAGATCGAAGCCGTAGCGTCGGACGAGTATTCGGAGGCTGTCAGGATGCCCTCATTCAATGAGACAGGCGAGGTCCGAGTGATTAATCCCGAATCAATGCAGGCTATCCAATCTTGTCTCGCCGCATGATAGTCTCCTTCCTGGGAGCTTTGTTCGACTACTGTAACTTTGTTTCAATGTGATTCTGAAAGTCATTGTGTTCGTCGCGGCTCAGCATTCACGATCTGAAACTTTTGGGTAGCCTCAGTGGCCCGAGTCATTTGAGTTGAGTGTCGCTCTGGAATTTGGAACTCTCGCGAACCTATATGTCAGCGCCTGCATGGTACTGGTTCGTGGCCCACGGGTCCAGTTATGTTCCCAGGCTGAAATCTCGATCCATCGATCTTCAAGGTCTGAGGCCGCTGGCATGAGCTTTGAGACTAGGCTGCCATTTTGTGAGTGGCCGACTACGTCTTGTGGTCGTCTCATCACGTATGCAATGCATCGCATGAAAGGCTGTTCCGCACCACCTTAGACCATCAATCGACCTTTACTGCACCATACCGATCAGAACGAATCTCCCCAACCTGGGATTGTTGTTGGCCTATTACTAGGAGCACTAACCTTGACCTTTATGGGTGGGAATCGGTGCGGTACTATTTTCTACACCGCCGCTAGCATCTTCTAGAAGTACCATGAGTTCCGTGCCATAACACCAAGACATGCCTCAGTACAATCAAGTCCATTAGGCGGGGCACCTACTCCACAACACCAAAATATGCCTTAGTGCAATCGATTCAATCAGGCGGGGCACCTATGCCACAACATCAAGATATGTCTTAGTACAGTCAAGTCCATGAGGCGGGGCACCTATGCCACAACTCCAAGATATGTTTAAGTACAATCAGTTCCATGAGGCGAGGCACCTATGCCACAACACCAAGATATGTCTTAGTACAGTCAAGTCCATGAGGCGGGGCACCTATGCCACAACTCCAAGATATGTTTAAGTACAATCAGTTCCATGAGGCGAGGCACCTATGCCACAACACCAAGATATGTCTAAGTACAATCAAGTCCATGAGGCGGGGCACCTATGCCACAACACCAAGATATGTCTAAGTACAATCAAGTCCATGAGGCGGGGCACCTATGCCACAACTCCAAGACTGCCGCAGTACGATAAATTGTTGGAGTACGCGATAGAAAGATTAATTTTGACTGGGATTAATCAGCCGAATAATATCAGGTCTGAAACTGTCATATCGGCAACATAATACTTGATCCTCCATTGAAAAACAGCTGTCGATCCTAAGGAACGAATAACTTCAAGGTCCGAAAATTACATGTGGACGAATCTATTCATACCACTGTCGAGTTCACTACAACTCTGCTTGGTGGCCTGACTCGATTTTGGAAAGTTGAGTATGGTATGAAATGTGCCAATAGAATCATACGGTGTAGCAAACGTGATTGGGGCAGATTTTTCTGAAGGTCACTCTCACATCACGGGTCCTATTGTGGAGGTTGCAATTGGATGGTCTTGTCTACGAAAGTTTTGTTGGTATAGTGGTGGCCACTCGAAGCTCATTCGTTCGAGAATATGCTACCTTAAGATAGAACCGTTCACAGTAGTCATCGTGTTTGGGAATTCTAGGGTCATTCATAGGTTCTCTAAGTCCGAGTAGAACAGTTTTAGTGGGATCGAACGCATCGAAGAAGTGAGTATCGAAATTGACGACCATTTCAGTCCGAGATCGATTTTTACAGTGGCACAGAAGGGCGTGTCCTTCGGCTTGGCATTCTTCAAACAGTTCGGCGGGGAGGAGGAGTGCGAAGGGCCAGCAAGTATGCGCTGTGGCCTACTACCAAGTTGTGCCCGAGAAGCTTCAGCTTCTACTTGCGCGATACTGAGGAGAAGAAGATAGACTAGATTCATCGCGGGATGAACAAGGAACACAAACTACGAATCTTCTTGTAAGAGCTATGAGTGCCCGGCGATAGCATTCAGCGATGTTCCAATGAATCAACAAGTTTGAATGTATCATTCAGGGCACGAACTTCCTTGGAATGAGCTGGGGAGCTCATCAGTTACTGAGGCTCAGTACTGGGCAGCCGATATACAGTAAACAATGCGCATAGATAGCCGGGCTTCGTTTGGTGCATGCCTACGGAGACCATGCACACGTGAACCGTTGAATACGGTGGGCACACTTTTGGGAGTTTGTTCCTGGCTCCAATCTTTCAGCGCGTATTATTGAAGATAGATTGGATAGTTCCCCTCATTGTAACATTCAAGTCTGACAAAGTGGTTAGTGTATCACCACTTTTTGGAACAAATGCAGGTATGGGAATACATCTTCTCAAGATGATCTCCCAGACCGCCCCCATGCCGTCCGCTTCGACATGCCATGCTAGCCGGGAAACTATATTCGAAGTCCTCTAAGAAACCCTCACTCAGATGCCCCGCGGGTCTGAACTCTACAACAAGTCGTCTCCCGGCCGAATCGGCACGCCTCCGAGCCTGAATTGTGTCAACTGAGCTGACTCAGCTTACCTACAACCTCGTTTCCTCTATTTTTTGCTCGATCTTCCGCAGATAAGATTGGCATGAACGGTTCGTCAAATGAGTCTCCTATTCTATCACCTTCCCATCTTCCACCCATTCACCACTCAAGGCTTGAGTCAAGAGGCAAGCATCCCGTTTGTGCGTTGGAGTCTAACCCACCATTAAGTGTCAATTACAGCAGCGATAGATTGTCTATACACTCTGACACTCTATCGTAGATTCTCAGCGACTGCCTGCGACAACGGTGCGTTGGGATTACCGACTTGAGGATCATTTCTGATTCGGATCTTCAGTTGAGCATCTGTTTCGTATGCGTGCTTTAGGCCATGCGTTGCACGGAAAGTTGTACGTCGCGGATATTTCTTCGACTATGTTGCCACTCGCAACTCAATAGGGTCAGTGAACAGTTCAATTTTTTCTCAATAATCCAGTTTACCTTTCCGTCTTTAAGTTCGAAATCTCCAACACTCAAGTTTTAACAACACATGCAATATATCACAAATGCTCGCTGGCTACTACTGAGCGACGATCA